GGTGGGAGTTGGAGTTACAGAAGTAGTTGAGATGGTTGAAGAAGGAGTTGTTGTTTCTCTCACAGTCACTGTAGTAGATGTTGGAGTAGTAGGTGTTGATCTAGTACTTGTGGATGTTGCAGTTTCAGTAACTGTTACAGTGGTGGGTGTTGGAGTATATGAGGTTGTTGTGGGAGTAATTGTTTCAGTCACAGTCACTGTAGTGGATGTTGGAGATGTAGGAGTTAAGACTGTACTAGCAGACGTTCTAGTTCCAGTACCTGTTAAAGTGGTAGAAGTTGGAGTTACTGAAGTAGTTGAGATGGTTGTAGAAGGAGTTGTTGTTTCAGTCACAGTCACTGTAGTGGATGTTGGAGATGTAGGAGTTGAGATTGTACTAGCGGACGTTCTATTTTCAGTAACCGTTACAGTGATGGGAGTTGGAGTTACAGAAGTAGTTGAGATTGTTGTAGAAGGAGTTGTTGTTTCAGTTACAGCCACTGTAGTGGATGTTGGAGATGTAGGAGTTGAGATTGTACTAGTGGATGTTGCAGTTTCAGTAACAGTTACAGTGATGGGAGTTGGAGTTACAGAAGTAGTTGAGATGGTTGTAGAAGGAGTTGTTGTTTCAGTCACAGTCACTGTAGTGGATGTTGGAGATGTAGGAGTTGAGATTGTACTAGCGGACGTTTTAGTTCCAGTAACTGTTAAAGTGGTGGGAGTTGGAGTTACAGAAGTAGTTGAGATGGTTGTAGAAGGAGTTGTTGTTTCTGTCACAGTCACTGTAGTAGATGTTGGAGTAGTAGGTGTTGATCTAGTACTTGTGGATGTTGCAGTTTCAGTAACTGTTACAGTGGCGGGTGTTGGAGTATATGAGGTTGTTGTGGGAGTCATTGTTTCAGTCACAGTCACTGTAGTGGATGTTGGAGATGTAGGAGTTGAGACTGTACTAGCGGACGTAGTTGATACTGTAAAAGTCACTATAGTGGATGTTGGAGTAGTTGAGATGGTTGTGGTAGGAATTGTTTCAGTAATAGTTACTGATGTGGTCGTTGGTGTGATAGAAGTAGTAGGAATGGTGCTTGTGGGGGTCGTTGTTTCAACTGTTCTATTGCAGACTTTGGAACAACATTTAATTCTAATTTGATAGTTATAACATGTTGTTTGGCCTTGCTGATCTCTGTTGTTACACACCAATCCATTTTGAAGGTCACACTGATAATTCTGTGCATTTTCAGTTGTGATGGCAACTCCGTTTTCAACTGCTTGACATTGGATGTTTGCTTCCATTTCTCCTTGTGAACAGATCTCCTTTACTTGTGTTCTAAGGTTACTTATGGTCTCATATTCTCCACCATCACTACCAGTCGATGGTGTTTTATTGTTATACCAAGGTGTGTACCGACAATCCATTATATATATGCATGGTGGTGTGGTACTAACAGTGGTAGTCGGAGTAGTTGTTTCTGTAACAGTTACTGTAGTGGATGGAGTAGTTGAGATGGTTGTTGTAGGAATTGTTTCAGTCACAGTAGAGGATGTGGAACTACTGACTGTGGGTGTTTCAGGGGTTGTTATGACCGTTATAGTGCTAAATGGTGTTGTTGTCTTTTCACAAACCTTAGAACAACACTCGATTCGTACTTTGTAATTTAAACACATTGGGAATGATTCTTTCTGGTCCCGGTTGTTACATATAAGTCCACTCTTTAGGTCACATTGATACATTTGTGTACTCGCTACACTGTTTACAGCTCCAAAGACAAAAGGTTCACATTGTATACTGTTTTCAGTTTCATTTTCAGCACAAACTGCATATCCTTTTGCTTTGATTTTTTGAAGGCTTTCATGATCTCCATCATTGATGTCAGATGTTGGAGCATACAGGTCAAACCACTCTGTATAACGACAGCCCATTGTATAAGCACATGAGGTAGAGGCTGTAGTTAATGTAGTAGGAGTAGTTGTTACTATGCTGGTCGTAGGAGTTGTTTCTGTAACAGTTATTGTAGTAGTGGTGGTGGGAACTGTTCTGTTACAAATTTTAGAGCAGCATTCTATTCTGACCTGATAGTTATAGCATGTGTTTAACGCAACTTGATCCCTGTTATTACATACCAGACCATTATTAAGGTCACATTGATATGACTGGGTGTTTCCAGATGTTATGGCAATCCCATTTACTACAGCTTGACACTGAATACTTGTTTCCATTTCACCCTGAGAACAAATGTGTTTTTGCTGAGACCTAATGCTACTCAATGTCTCCCTTTCACCACCATCAAGGCCAATTGTCGGTGTGTTCTGGTTAAACCATTCTGTGTATCGGCAGTCCATGACATCGGTACATGAAGGTGTAGTGCTCGCCGTGCTGGTTGGAGTTGTCTCTGTAACAGTCACTGTTGATGTTGGAGGGGTTGTTGTCTCTGTAGTAGTTACCATTGTGGAGTGTGGAGGCGTTGGGGGTGTTTCTGTAGTTGTCTCTGTAACAGTCACTGTTGATGTTGGAGGGGTTGTTGTCTCTGTAGTAGTTACCGTTGTAGAGTGCGGAGGCGTTGGAGGTGTTTCTGTAGTTGTTAACTTAGTTGAACTAGTGGTGTATGGGGTTGTCTTTTCACAGTATTTAGAACAACATTCGAACTGTATTCGGTAATTGTAACATAGCTGCTCTGGGCCTGTTTGGTCACTGTTGTTACAAATCAGCCCATTTTGGAGATCACATTGATAAATCTGTTTCTGAGCAGCAGTGTTTGATGCTCCATATTGTATTGCTTCACATTGAATATTTGTTTCAATTTCATCTGCTGTGCAAACTGTATATCCTCTTGATTTAATTTCAGCCAAGCTCTCTTTATCTCCATCGTAAATATCTGAAGTAGGTGCATGCAGATCAAACCATTTTGTGTAGCGACAATCCATGTGTGTGCATGTAGTCGTAGGTGTTTCAGTTGAGGATGACGGATTAGTTGTTGAAGTTAATGTTGTGGTTGGACCGCATGTTGGGAGAGGCTCACAACATTCTATACTTATTTCGTAGTTATAGCAGATTGGTAGATTATAAGAATTGTAACAGATCAGTCCAATATCTTTGCTGCATATTACATTTTGTTGCAAATCTTCGAGCAGAGATTCAGGAAATGCCTTTGCTCTGCATCTTACATTGCGAGGAGACTGACAGATATTGTTTCCTGCATTTCTGATATTTTCCAAGGTTTCAAAGTCACCAGTGTCTGTACGGCTGCTTTCAATAATGGGATAAGAGACATCATACCACCGTGACCAAGTACATGCTGCACAAACTGCAAATTAAATAAAAAAATAACGTGTTAAACACTACTAAAAAAACAACTGTATAGTAATTATTATTATTATTATTGTTATTATAATGCAGGATTTATATAGGGCCAACAGTTTGCATAGCTATTTACAATATGAGGAAGACATTACAATTACAATACAAGTCAAGACAAGACGGTGAGGGACCTGCCCATGAGGGCTTACAGCTAAAAAATTGTATGAGATTTCATGTTATTTGAATCGTTTATCCTGAAAAAAGTAATAATAATAATACAATATATCCTTTTATTTGTTTTCCAAAGTTTCCCTGACTTTGCTATTTTTAACGTTTGTCAGAAAATTCCCAAACACAAAGATGTATTGTCATAATGATGTAGCTAGCAGTTACATTGAATTGGACTAATTCTTTACTGTTTAAGACATTTCTTGTCCCAACCACTTGTATGAGTGACACCATGTCTATTCACTAAGCTGCCGAAGGATCTAGCTCTAGCTTCCGCTGATCCTTCGGCTAACTTCGGCCCCTAGGATCCCTTCGGTTCAGCGGCATTCGGCTATTTACTCACTGCTGTTCGGCATCTATGAGAATAGACCGAACAGCAGCGAGTAGCCTGCCGGAGGTTCGGCTTAGCCGATCCAGATGTTGGATCGGCTGAGTTGAACTCCTTCTGCACTTCCGGTCGGCTGAACATGCTGAGCATGTTCGGCCGACCCGAAGCCACACGTAGCCACCCGATTTACGGCTGATTTCAGCCGATGTACAGCTGGAGTCAGCCGTACCAGCCTGAAGTCAATAGCCGAACAGCGTTCGGCTCACTTCGCTTGGGTCGGTTAGTCACTCGGCTGCCTACGGCAGCTTAGTGAATAGACCCCCATGTCTTCAACATTACAGAGCAAGTCTAGTTAAATGTGACTACTACTAGCAACACTATGGTCTTGATAAATAAGAATCTTAGCAGGCATGAGGCTCAATTCAAAATTCAAAAAAAAGTGCGCTTTTTTAAACAGAGTCCAATAAGATTTGAAACTTACAGTCACATGGCTAAAAAAAAACTTCTTACCCCTGTGTTAAAAAATTGTGGATTGAGCCTATATTGTTATAATAATGTTTACTGATTTTGACCCCTATAATTGTTATCATCATATAAGGAGGAAATTAATTAATAATGGATGGTAAAATATTCAAATTAAATGGGCATGCAGAGTTTATACTTAACTGTCGCTAAGTACCTAAAGTGTGTAATTTTCTTTTTTGTTTTAGGACAACACAGTAAAGACATGATATGCTGTGGTACACAGTGGTTGAACATGGCTCTACAGAGTAGACATATGAACTTGCTACTCTATATATGGAACACAGCAGTTATAAGGTGTGTATTAATAAAACTTACCTGTAGTGGTTGTGCTTGTTGTAGGAGTGGTGGTTGTGCCTGTTAAAGGAGTTGTAGTTAAAGTTACTGGAGGAGTGGTAGAGAAGTGAAATGTTGTACTAGGTGCTGTAGTGCTGCAAGATTCAATTATTCTTACTAAATTTCCGTATAAACATATAGCTCTTATACATCCTCCGATGCCGTCAGTTGTATTGTAGACTATGTCATTATTTTTGTACATACGGCCTGCATATGTACAGCAATCTGTTGAAAAAGCAGACTTGTTAGATAAGTTTAAGTTGATTGGAGACTGCAGGTATGATAAATATCTTAGTTTACGACTAAGGGACTGATTTATAATAGAGTGGGCATCATCATCCACTCATTGTTATACTCTGCTGAGGTATGCACATCGTAGCCCATATTAAACAGCCCATTCAAAAAATGTAGACTGTGGTGTGGCATATGCTGTACCCCATGAAGTTCTCTCTGCTTAACATAGGAGAGATCTCTGCGTTTGGAGGAGATCCGGTCATGTGACTTTGACAGGTCACATGATTGAAGCTGGTGGAGCGTTTTAAGAAGAAAAAAAAGCTGGGAAGAGATACAAACTCCTGATGATAGCAGAGAACAATGTACATTTGTAAAAAAAATATAGCTGTTTTTTAAATGGTAGTTCGGGTGTACATAAAATCTGGCGGCATGCACTTGGTCTTTCTTTTTTAGAATTGAGTTGCTGCAGACCTGCAAACCGTGTTGGAGATCCCTTCACAAATGTTGACAGAAACTTCCTGTAATAAAAGGAAGTGGAATAGGATGGGTTCTATGGTGAATAAGAAGAGATCCTCCTGGAACATTGTTTTTTTTCTAAACCATGCAAAATTCTAAATTAGAAATAAGTAAATAGCTTTTCACCTTACACTGACTAGAAAACTCTATGTTGGATATATTATGGATTGTAACTTGCAGCACATTTTTACTTGGAATCAGCTCCTACTTTTTACCTGACTCATGGCTTAAATGCATTTTTTTACTTAAACGTGTGTTAAGACAAGCAATTCCACAATTTTTCTTGGGGAATACTTGTTTTAAGGGAACTGGTCAGTGTTTCATTAGTCAGCAAATTAAGTATAATACGTAATTATATTACCTAGTATGGTTTTGGAGCATGGATATCACAGGGCATTCAGGTTCACCTCCACAAAAGAACCTGGATGCTTAAACTGTCTTCTGGCTCTACCAGAGGTTGAGGTGCATGGATAAGGGTACCTGAGTCTATCTAGAGATCTGAAACAGAACTTGGCAGATGGGAGGGGAGCCTTGAGCTGGTTCTTACTGTGGGGATACGGAAGACTACCATGCCCATCAGCATGCCCACCCTCATGTTGCAAAGGGACATGCAGGCTGGTCACACACTGCAAGCTTTGTGCATCTTCCAATGAAAATACCAGCCAACATACCTGATGTACTGGGCTGGCTGTGTTAGGAAGGTAATTTAACAAGAGCACTGCTAAACTGTGTAATACTGGTTTTAAATAGAGTGGATGTTTATTGGCAGACATATACTCCCTAATTGTCATGTTGAATGGTGGGAATAAAAACAATTGCAAAAATGAGTTGAAATATGTACATTCCCTTAAATACTACAGGCCACAGCCAACAATATTCCATTTAGCTTAGGCCAAAAGAAGCAACTCCTTCCCTCAAATACTCCAGGCCACAGCCAACAATATTCCATTTAGCTTAGGCTAAAAGAAGCAATCAAGCTATTGTGTTACCTGTTAGGTTGTAACATTTGATGCCTTCGCTTGTGCAGTTGCTGTTTAAGAAGAAACAGGAGAAGAGAACATAAATATTGCATAATAAGTAGTGGAAAAGATGTGAAAAACATTTTTTTATCCCAAATGCCATACTGTGGTAAAGATTCAGCAGTTATACCAACATTATTTGTGTACTTGATTACTTCAAGACTAATGATCCAGGTTTTTTTAAAAGCTAACATCTTTTAGACAATTTTTCATGTTACACCTATTTTCAGAATATAATGTGAACATTTTTTACTTCCCAGCCCCCCACACCTAAACTGCTCCCCCTTTCATCATAATCCAAGGGATCTTCTCCCAACAGAATTAAGTATATAGTTCAAATGGGTGTAGCTGTGCATGGCTCTGCTTGTCGTGTCATCTTTTGACAGATCTATTCACAGGAGCCCCTTCACAAACAGGAACTTCTGGCATAGGGCCTTAATTCTTAAAAATATTCTAGTGCCAAGAAAAATCTATGAAGATGACCTGCTAACTTCCAGAATGCCCTCTGTTTCAAATGTGGCATTTCCAAATGTTCAAGTTGCCCAACTATTGCCTAAAACACTTTCAATGTGAGATCATACAGCACAGGAATGAGCTGGCCAAGCAAATCTTTCTTAAACTGGCATGTCCTTGCCAGTTGCAATATAACAGGATGATGCAGACAACTAAGCAGAGGCTCAATGAACATCAATCAATCAATCAATCAATCAATCAGATTATACAGAACATAGTGTACCAATACACTTTTTGAAACACCACAGTAAAGATTATGACCTTCTTTATGCTACAATTCTCAAAGAAGTTCTGAAATCCATAAATTATGATAGATTATATTCTAAAATCTGACTTATTCCCCTCTACCCCTCTTTTCTTACATGATGTTATTTGCATCGTTTTCTATAGTTTTACCTTTTTATTTATTATTAAGATATATATACTGTATATGTGCTATATCTTATCTACAAACAGGGGGACAGTACAGCTAAATTAAATTAGCAAGTTTAAATCAGTTGAAGGCTCCGAACTAAGGACACTTGATATAGAATTTCTTGTTCGTGGGCTCTACTTTAATGAGTATTGAACATATTAAAATGTTTCTGTAATTAATATCCCTTTTCTCTTTTTATGGTTTTTTTTTTACTCAAATTTTTTATAATGCTGAAAGAAATATTAAATGCGGTACAAGTAAATTTTAAATGGGCAAGAGCTGAGCTTTTTTTTCTGGGTCATACCCACTAAGTCCTGACATGCTTTGGAGTTGTCATACAAAAGCAAAGATTTAAATCCTTTTATGAGTATATAACAGTTTGATGCAGGAGGACACCAGTGAAGTCCACTTCTAAATAAAATGTTTTTTAAGCTTTGGATAGAGCTTAAAAAATTAGAACCTTTAAAAGGTTTTACTGTCTGTATTCCTCTTGTCAAAATGTACTTACTGATTCCAGTTTAATTGTGTCACATACTGGCACAATATGTGAAATCAGAACAGGAAGTAAGGAGAAACATCTCCATTGGGGAAAGAGAAAGAAATACAACCCAGCAGATTTTTTTAACCCTTCTCCGCTCAATCCAAACCATTATAAAGTTCATGGCATTTGGTGATTTAAAGAAAATGTTTTCTTTCTTCAGAAAGTGTTGTAGCTTTTCTAAATGTACTATGCGGGTATGTTACATGGCCATGCTAGAGAAGTGCTTAGTGGTGTCTTATATATATTTCTGAGGTCCATTTACTCATTTTCTCCTAGATAAAATTCAGTGATATAAACTGGAGCAAAACCTGGGGGTCTGGTTCATGATGTAGTCCAATCCAGTTGCAGTTTTTTTGATAACCACCTCTCGAATGCTGTGTAGCTGACATAGTTGTATTTCAAACTCAGATGGCATAGGGGATTACATTCTTAGCCTTCTGTTAATCAAACTTCCAGAATGTAATGGATATTTAATGGCACACTTACACTCCCTAATTTGTATGTTGGTCACATGGCGAAAAACAATAAAAAAGTGAGCTGAATTATGTATATTAATACATTTGTATTTGTTTGTTGATTTTAATGCATGTTTACCTAATTCTGAAGTTTGGAGTTATCACTTAGGGATGTATTTATGAAAATTTCACATTGCCACTGAAACTCATTGAAATTCACAGAGCCTGTAAAACTGCATATACATTTGTGCAAATGGATGCAAAAACAAATGTTATTAGTATAGTTTATTTCCAGGTCGAATGTAACATCAGCAAAATACTGCATTATAGCCACTAGGTGGAGCTGGGAAGCATAGGAAATAACTATTTATTTACATTTGAACAAGAAGTATACTAATAATGTTTGTTTTTGCCTCCATTCATATTAAATGAATATACGTACAGGGGTCTATTCACGAAGCTGCCGTAGGCAGCTGAGTGAAAGACCGACCTGAAGTGAAGTGAGCTGTTCGGCTATTCACTTCAGGCTGGTACGGCTGATTTCAGCTGTACATCGGGTGGCTTCGCGTGGCTTCGGGTCGGCCGAACATGCTCAGCATGTTTGGCCGACCCGAAGTGCAGAAGGAGTTCAACTCAGCCGAACATCTGCATCGGCTGAGCCGAACCTCCGGCAGGCTACTCGCTGCTGTTCGGTCTATTCTCATAGATGCCGAACAGCAGTGAGTGAATAGCCGAATGCCACGAAAAATACAAATAGAAAACAATTGTGCCAATAGTTTTCTATTGGCCGGCGGTTCTGCTGCCGTCAAAAAAAAAGCACCAAAAAAAAAAGCCTAACTCTCCCGGGCGCTCCAGGAGTCCCCCGCTCCCGGCCGCCAAGGAGAAAAACACTGTTTTTTCTGTGTCAGGATAGAAAAAAAAAATTTGGCCATAGGAATGCATTGCTAGATTCCTATTGGCTATTTCAATTTACAATAGCCAATAGCAAACTAGCATTGTACCTGCCCTCTGCTGCTGTCAATCAGTAGTGGACCTGATGGAGAACTTCAGCAGAGATTGACAGAAGCAGAGGGCGGGTGCAATGCTAGTTTTCTATTGGCTATTGCAAATTGAAATAGTCAATAGGAATCTAGCAATGCATTCCTATGGCCAACATTTTTATATCTTTTTTTCTATTCTGACACGGCTCAGTGTCAGAATAAGAAAAAAAAAGAAAAAGCAGTGTTTCTCTCCTTGGCAGCTGGGTGCGGGAGACTCCCGGAGCGTCAGGGAGAGTTAGGCTGTCTGGAGATCAGTGTCCCTGGTTAGGTGGTAACCAGGGACACTGATCTCTCTGCAAGTGGCCGGAGCCAGCCGTAAGATCAAGGCTGGCTCCGCCCAGCTGTCAGAAGCAGGCTGTCGGCCGCCCAATGGCCGGCCGCTTGACCAGCTTCGGCTTTCAGTGCGGCTAAGCCGAGCCGAGGCATATGCGTTCGGGTCGACTGAGCCGCTCGGCCAAGTTCGGGAGCTGTACGGGCTATAGTGAATAGCCCGTACAGCAGCCGTTCGGTTCTACTGAACCGAAGGGGTCCTGGGGCCGAAGCTAGCCGAAGGATCGGCTGAAGCTATGGCTAGATCCTTCGGCTGCTTCGTGAATAGACCCCACAGTTTTGTAGAAAGAATCGCCCTGCATTTTTTTTTCATTACAACCCTTTGTTAGGGATTCTCTAAATTGTATTTTCTGAAAACAGTCTGGCTACTAGAATCGGACACACAGGTTTGCATCATACAAACAGAAGAAAATACCTTGTGCGGGACACCAGTGACGTGGTACAAGCTTCAATAAATTATTCCAGTGGAATATAGTGTGCGACCAGCTTTTCTTCTATTTGTATGGGCAAGGATGTGCTCCCAGTGGCAAGCACCCTACTCTTTCCTTTCCTGAGCTGTGGAGGAGCAGTGCTTTTATGTGTGTTCTCCTTATACAGGTTGGTAAACTGGATTTTACAGATCCTCATGTGAACAGTATAATTTCTAGAGAAGAGTCTTACCAGAGTGTACAGGTGTTGTTGTCATTTCGCACTACATATCCTATGGGGTATCTGTTGTCATAGCCATCATAACACGCATTACATGCAGGGACACACTGCTTTGTCTCTTCATCATAGTATGGTTTATCCTCTGGGCAGGTGGGATAGCAACCTGTTTGGACACATAAAAGTAACATTCAACTCCAGTCCAGGTAATATTACAGCATATTGGTTAAAGAACACAAAATCAGTAATAAATATGTAAGGAACATTTCAGGACAAAAATATAATAAGTATGTTGCTAATGCACTTTCGAAAATACTTGCTCCAGGTATGCTGTCATTATCTTCTTCACTAGTTGTTGAGTCACTAACTTGGAACATGTATGTGTGTATCAGGTGTCCAGACACTTTAGAAACAGTGTGGGGGCTCTAGGCTAACAAATCAAAGTAGTGAAGAGAAGGCAGCCACTACTGAGCCTGAACCTTGCAAAAAAAAGGGCCTCAATGGCAGTTTACTTTTTTCTATCCTGATAGGATTTCTTTAATGCCTTTCTTTAATAACTACAATCAAAATATTTTTCAGTGCTGGTTAGAGTGAGGAAAGGTTATAACCTCTGTTAAGTCTTTATTGCTGCCGGAGACCCTATTTGGGAGATTTCCCCTTGCATTCTGTCCCAGTGACTACACTAAAAAAATTAGCTGGGACACTGCCCTTCCCCAGCTTGCTAAAAAATAAGTGCAATACTTGCTGCCCTTACTGGAGAGGTTTCATTTCACTTCCTGTCCTATTGCTCATACAAAAAGAGGAGCATATCTCCCCAAAAGGGCCACAGATAACAATAAGACATTCCCTATTCTATCCAAAACTAAGGGCCAATTCACACCATTGCATTGCAGTAATGTATAGTGATGCATGTTATCTGCATTTGTGCCATACAATGCCATTTATTCTGAATGGCACCCCAATGCACCTTGTTGGCAGAGGTGCATTGTTTTAATGTGCTTTGCAGTGCACTTTCAGGAATGCTACATGAACCTTTATGGTGCATGCTGGTGCTTTGGGCAGCCCTTTCAAATGAAAAAACCTCATTGCACATTGCACATTGCCGTGCAGAATAAAGTGCACTAATGCACCACAATAGTGTGAATGAGTAAACTATAACAAAACTTTGTTTGGCATTAGGCTTTAAACGCTAACACCACCTTTTCACTATGTTCACGCTTTCTCTCTTAAACTGCCTCCCCCAAACTTACTTGAATCATGGGGTTCTTCTCCCTGCAACAACCTGTATTTTTTAATTTTTTAATTCAGCGTGGCAAAGAAGTGCATTGGAACAGTGACAATGACAAGAATACTAGTTCAGATGTTCTTAAAAAAGCACTAAAACAGCATGAAATGCATATCCAAAGACTCATGTATATGCACATGGTGCTTAAGTTAATTGCATTCATATGTGTGTAGACATGTACAGTATATGCCTGCACAGTGTCTAGAAGTGTATAATTCTTCATCCACAAAACATTTACACATGTCCACACGTACGCTTGTATACATGTTTATGCTAATTTACAAGCATATAGGCATAATTTTATGTCAAAATACTCAACTTGAATTCAGTATTTGGACACGTCGCTGAACAATGCTCTAAATAGATCTAAACCAGGGACGGCAGGGGAGGCAGAGCCTCACCTAGTATTATGGAGGAAAAAGCTGTCAGCTTCAAGTTTGAAGCTGACAGCTTTTTCTCCATTCAGACCAGATTGTAACAGGTTACAGAGTGGGGAAAGCCTCCCAGCTGTGTAACCTGTCATGAATGGATCGCTGCCTGTTAATTACAGGCGGCGCTGCATCCGGCTTTTGTCTGCTAAGTTAGGTTACACAGCAGCGGGCTTCCCCACTTCTTGTGTAACCTAACATAGTGAAGCCAGAGCTGCAACAGCCTCTACTTGCTGTTAGAGGCTTGCGCTCTGTTGATGGTTTAGGCCAATGGCAAAGCACCATAGGTCCAAGCTGTCCAATAAAAAAAAAAAACCACTGATGACATCGATCGTGATGCCTCACCAGTGACAAGCAAGTGAGGGACAGGGAGGCTCCTCCCTGTTTCCTACCTTCTCCCTCCTCCCACCCTCCTCCACACAGCTCGGTGACTGGGCTGGGGGTGGGGCGGAGGTGGCCTGAGGGTGGGGCAGTGGTGGACTAGGGGCAAGACGTGCAGTGGGAAATGCCTCACTTAGCGAGGACTCCACTGCACTTCACTAAGCTAAACAGTGCTATGTGCATGGACACATTGGTTATAACCAAGCTGCGTTCAGAGAAAAGGGCCATACAGATCTGAAATCTGCGTTATTTGCACCCATGTGCATGAGCCCCAAAAATGCAGTAGTGTGAATGCTCTCTCTTACTGTATGAAACAATGGTGATATCTTAATTCTCTCCATTCTGGATCTATGCTACTAGTAATTACTTTAAGTAGAAGCACTGTTCTATTTTATTTTTAATATGTTTCTAGTAAGAAGACACTTTTAGCACAATGTGCCAGGCAGCTTTGACAGGCACAGGTCCAACACATTGCGGTATTGTCAGAGCTTGTCAGCTCCCTTTTCAACCTCCACATTCTTATTAGCTCATTATGATGAGATTCCCCGCTGGTCAGTAGGAATGTGCAGGATGCAGGAAAAGGTGGGTAAGCTTCACTATGGCTGGGAAGACATGAAGCATTGCTCGTCAAAAAAGCCTCTGATTTGGGGGAGGCAGGAGGTACAGAAAGATGCTACAGGTATGTGCAGATAACACTAGGTACCTGTTCTTTATACCTATCAGCAGCCTTATTTTTTGTGTTAGTGTCTGTTTAAGGAAGAGTGATGCTTATTGACAAAAATTATTAAAAACTTTAAAAATTGTGCAACAAAGTCATTTCATGGCATTTGTGACTTCCCTTCTTACCTTCCAAACCTGACAGATTATGGTAACAGGTTCCATCAGGGTTCCTGCAAGTCTTCATGCAATGGGCTCCACATGGTTTGTAGTGCCATTCGCACTCACCTTCTTTGTTGTAGTAATCGCAAAAAATTGCTGTTGTCAGATAGATCAAAGAAATATGTTAAAGCAAAAGCACATAGAGCTGAACAAATCATTTCTACCAAGCATTTAAATGATAAAGTCTATCTTTTCAACTGCAATAACACTGATATTAAAAAGTACAAAAACATAAATAGAAAACAATTGTGCGGAGCTAGCAGTGACACCTAGATCCGCCCAAATGTGTTCTATTGCCCGGCGGGTTCTGTTGCCATTTGCTAGTAGCCAATAGCAAACTAGCTATTGCACCCGCCCTCTGCTGCTGTCAATCACTAGTGGGGACCTGATGGAGAACTGATTGACAGCAGCAGTGGGCGGGTGCAATAGCTAGTTTGCTATTGGCTATTGCAAATTGAAATAGCCAATAGGAATCTAGCAATGCATCCCTATTGTGAAAATGATTTTTTTCTTTTTTTTTTTTTATTCTGACGACAGCCAAAGGCTCCATGTCAGAATAAAAAAAAAAAAAAAGCAGTGTTTCTACCCTGGTTAGCTGGTAACCAGGGACGCTGATCTCTCTGCAAGTGGCCGGAGCCAGCCGTAAGCGAGCCAAGCGAGCCAGGCTAGCTTTGGCTTTCACCCCAGCTCAGTCGAGGCGAAGCATATGCCTTCAGCTCAACTGAGCCACTTGGCCGACTTCTGGAGCTGTACGGGCTATAGTGAATAGCCTATACAGCACCCCACCGGTTCTACTGAACCGAAGGGGTCCTGGGGCCGAAACTAGCCGAAGGATCAGCCGGAGCTACAGCTAGATGCTTAGGCTGCTTCGGGAATAGACCCCTTCGTTTTTTTCTCAGATCCACTGAATAGGATACATTAAACGCGTCCATACACTGATTAGTTATTGGAACAATTGCATAATTTTAGATTTAGTTTGGCAATAACCTGTCTGTTTATAGTATCCAGGCAACTTTAGCACCAGCAAATACAGTATTTTCTTTAAAATTAGATGCCTAATATAGTAGATGGAGGTGCATGATGGGCATATTTGCCAATATTTGTGATTATTGTACCACTGCTCTTACTGTGTATTTGTCTTTTGTTACTATATATTGCTAAATCTGTTAAAGACTGTTCCTTTTCCTTCTGAGCCTAAGTTAGCTCAGGCCTAACACATAAAGGCAGCCAATTACTCCCATACCTCAACTCTCTGAGATAAGAACTTTCAACACAAAGTACATAGACAAAGGACACAGCTCTGCCATGCACCTAGCTATGTTGACTATAAAGCATTACTACACCAAAGGTTATTAATAAAACCTACTAACAACTTTTTTTCAGCTACCTGAACCTTCATTTGTAGTAGGTTTTAGCATAACAAATATAATAATTTAGAGGTTGGATGAAAGGTTTAGTGTAATACAACACTTTAGATAGTTAAATAATAAAAAAACATGTTTATCTACAAATCAAACCAAAGAAAAGGACAACTGATGAGGAAAGAGAAACAGAGAGATTTGGTTCCAAAAGGCTGATAGTCCTTCCAAATGAGGGACTGTTGGAAGCTATGCCTCAATTATACAGCAAATCATAGGTCCTGGAAATGTGTTTTTTTCAAGGAATCTATCTCTACATATCTCTCTGTGGTTATATATGTAGTGTAGTACTATATGTCGGGAAGTATAAATATATATCTACCCAAATATATGTATTTATATTTATCTGTGTTGTGAAAATCCAGGCAACCTCAGTACTTTTCCAGAGAGTAGAGTTTAATTGGATCGAAGAAACAGATGAACAGGATCAGTCCAACAGAGTAATACAGAGTAAAATATCTAGACCTCAGATGATAAAGGATTTCATGATGACCCACTCTATCTACCCAGCATATATATCCAATCTATATATGCACCGCTGTGCCTCTCTTCATGACTCTGAACTCTCTCCCTCCTTCTCAGCCACCTTAGGCTCTCTATTCATATACAGTTTAGTGCCATTCACTAACACTGAAATGAATCTGATTGGCTGGTCTAATTACCCCTTTGATGTTAGTTAACTAAACAGGTTTTGACAACATTACCTACAGCTGTTACATTGTGTACAATCAACAAAGCAGGATGGTCAACTGGTCAATAGACTAACACAATAAAAACCTTGTTAGCATAGGTGTGTTAAATAACATCAGCTAAAAGAATGCAATACATGAGAATACACCCTAAATATACCCCTAATATATCTACTTCAATCATAATTTACAACAATATAGAGGTTTAGTTTTGCAATGGAATAAATATATTTAGCATAACAAAATAGTTTTTTTTCCAATCTGCATAGACTAAATTAATTACTCACGACACATGTTGGGGTTTCTCCAGCTGACACAGGTTCCAGCCTCACTACAAGCTTGAGCATATGAAGCCACAGCAGTACAGAAGCACTCACAATCTCCACCAGTGTCACAAGCACAGGAATCACTGACACAAGCATCATAGTATTTCAATGGATCAACCTGAAAATTAAACCCATTTGGTGAGTTTTAAGAAATATACATTTTCTTATAAACTTAATACATTTCTACATCATCATATCATTATTTGAATTTGATCTTTTTTTGCTGTTGTAGTGCTTTGTGGATTTTAATATAATAATGCACTAATATTGATTATATAAAAGCGATCATACCAAAGGATGGCAAGCTGAGAATACGACACTGGTGATGATGCTACATTGTCTCTGTGCCCAGGATTTCCTATAAGGGTTTAGTGAGCAGGAATCTTTGAGGCTCACAGCATCTGGGCAGCTTGGTGAGAGTTTCCAGCTGTTGCCGAATTCTACTACATCTCCTACTACAGACAGACTTCTGGTGGAGAAGTCATTATTGGCATTTCCATCATAGTTACCACACAATCCACACACTTTACCCTATGAAAAAAAAAGGAGAAAAGAAAATCTTCAAAACCACTAGTATAGACGTAAATGCAGACTTTTCTATTTAAAGATATAGCATTGCCTTTTAAAATATAAGCCTTTTTAAAATTACAATAGCATACCTGGAAACTTGGCTCCAGCTTGATAAACATGGTGGTCTTCATATCCCACACCAAAACCAATCCATTGAGAGCTTCGATCACCATGTAGATGCCCATCTGGTGCACTTTGTAAGGTACATATTCTCCAGATGCAAGTTGGACAACCTCAAATTTCTCATCACTCAGTATAAGCTCATAGTTCTAGGCAAAAATGACATTTAATTACCATACAAACCTTATTTTCAAAGAAAAAAATCTTTTGATTTTTTTTTTTTTATTACTTTGTATTTTACAAACAACACTTACACCGAGGAAAACTTTTATGGACTTGGAGCAGGTTGTGCCTGTAGATCCACACGGAATGTTCTCAGTGATAACACGGAAAGTTCCATTGGATGGGTCACCACTACAGTAATCCTGACATTGAAAGAACAAATTGGACAGGTTAGAGCATATATATGAGAGGGGCTAGTTAGAGTCTGGAAAGTAGAATAATATAGCTACATAGGAAGTCTATAAAAACATGATAGATACATATATGGATATATACCTGAACCAGGGTATATTCACAGTCCCCACTAAAGCTGTATCTCTTGGTGTCAAATGTGATGTAGTTACCATCCCCATATATTGTGCAGGTCCCCATGCACAACTCACTGGTACACTCCCAGTTTCTATTCACACATGTACTAAAAAGAAGAAGAAAATATATAAAAAAAGTAATACTGACACCAAATTCATAGTTTTGTTCAGAGTGGATCTTCTAGAATCCTACAGCTGTAATGCAGATAGCTGCTACATAGACTGTATAAAATGCTTACTCATAATGAAATTCCCTGAGAGTGTTCCTTATTCTCTTAATTTTAAGTCAATTGCAAGTATAATAAGCACTGATAAAATAAAAACATGTTTACTTAACCTTCACTATATATATATATGATAGTAGAAGTATAATTCATTGTCCTGAGTAACACTTCTGTTTTATCTTTATTAGAGTCTCCTTTATTAATATGTCACCATATATTTCAGCAGAAAAGGGTTTCAAATGTTTACCATGTATTGCACTGCATTTTAATTTTAGCACTTGGAGGGAAAGCTTCATTGTTGTGGATACATGGACACTGCTGTTCTTGAACACATCCACCATGACTATCAGCGATTAGTCCATCGGGGCAAATGCAGCCAGAGATACATTGAGTGCTGTACTATAAGAGACATAATAAAAATCCAATTGAAAGATAGATCACACAGCCCATCCACATATTGCCCCATGTACCACCTATGCCATTCTTGGATGAATAAAGCTGGCCATGCATGCATAGATTTTTGTCGTTCAACTTCAATTATTGGATTTTTCTCATTCAGCCTGCGGGAGAGAGAAATCCAATAGATTCTTCTAACCATGCTAAACAGCATTAATGTAGGAATCTGCACGGCTGGCTACCATGGCTGTCTGAATATCTGAACAGTGACTGCATCTGATCTGCAAGTTAAACAGAATTAAACTGCTATGTCTAGTGAAAGGTAGATTTAAAAAGTCATAATCAGTATGGACAAAATTCCCTCTCAAAGGAAACCTGTTATGAGAAAATTACAAGGCTGCAATTGCTAACCTAATTTTCAAAATGGTAGCTGCCTGGCTTTTAATGTTAATCCTCTGGCTTCAATATAAATGTATACATAGTTATGATGTTTACTAATGTTGTATAAACTTACACACTGCATGTCAAAGGTTTGACAGCTTTTCTGGCACTCGGCTCCTTTAGTTCCAGCAGTCTTATTTGTGCAGTCAAAATACACCATGGGGGCAGCACAGACTAAAAGACAGAAGAAGATACAAATAAAAATCAATAAATCTAGTAATATCCACATTATTATCCACATTATTCTTATTCTGTCAGTGAAAGAGAATAAACTGTACATGGGAAACATCAAATGCATACTTACGTTTCTTCATTCATTGTTGAATGTTGAAAACAATAGAATTTACTGGCAGACTAATACCAACTAGTTTTTTTACCCTTTTTTAAAGGGACAGTCAACCCAAATACGATAATTTTATTTTTGACAGATGCTTGTGGTTGCCTAGAAGTTTATTTTATTTGTAATGCCCGCCAAGCGCTCCATGGGTAAGGTCTGTGAACCCGCCTCAACAATTACAGGGAGTTTCAATACTACATCTGTTGGCAATAGGTTCTATTGTTCTACTGCTCATTTGGTAAATGAATACTTCCCAACATAATGCATATTTTCCATATTATTCAATTGCATAATGATATTCTATTATTTTCCAAAATTAATATTAATTTATGCCGAACTAGTCCAATTTAGCACTATGAGCAATGCACTTGCAATCTTGTGCCTAACCAGTTGTGATATATTTCTCTAATTATGGCCCATTAGTAAATAATTATTATCTACATACAATCCCAGTAATGCATAATACTATGTACAGAAGAGGATTGTGAAGATACCTGTTAGTTGTGCGGTTCCAATGCAGTCTAGTTTTCCTGAAGAGCAAGTGCTGTAACATGAAGCGGAAGAATGTAAGTATGACAGTCTTTAAAATCTAAATCTAAACAGAAGTTATTTCACAACCTCTTTCCCCTCTTTAATATGAATTGCTGGATCATATGGATAGTATGAAAGGGTAATATTAAAGTGGCCTCCTTACTTTCACAATGTAGTAGAGTAACAGGGCTTCTCCCCCTCTCCAGCAGCATATCACCTTTTCTTGCACTTGCACCACTCATTTGATTGAAAGAAAGTACAGTGTAAGCTCCAGTGCAGCTTGTTTTACTCCTTTCATGCTCCCTGGTGACAGCTCTGGGCCAATCACAAGGCACCATTGCTGCCAAATGGGGGTAGAATGCTTACTCATACCTGGAAAAGGTAAGTATTCCACTTAACTCCCAGCAGCTAAACTGAGCTGTGGAGGAACAAAGGAAAGGTGAGTTTATGCTACTGGGAGGGAGTGAATTAAAGTGACACTAAACTCAGGAGTTATATCTTAAAATGCAATTATGTACCCTAACTATTAACAAAAATGCTGTTTATTTGTGTATTACTTGGCTGTAGATCCTCAAATAATTTCTGAATTGGTGCTGACACTGTCCTTCATTCTGGAGGGTGGATACTTTTGTTCCCCATGGTCCCTATGTGTGTTGTAAAGGAGTCACCGCTCCAAACTCACTCCTGTGATAGACTACAATCTCAATACAAATTAGTAAACTAAACGTGAGATTGAAGTCAATTACAGGATCCAGCTTGGAGTGGTGGCTAGTTTACAACACACACACACAGAGTCCATAGGGAACAAAGAGATCCACTCTCCAGAAGGAAGGACAGTGTCAGCAGAAATTCAGAGATGATTTGAGGATCTACAGCTGAGTGATACACAAATACGTTACATCGTTATTAACAGTTAAGGTACTTAAATGCCTTTTTAAGATTTAACTCCTGAGTTCAGCATCATTTTAAGTGACCCTCTTACTTTGCATGGATAAGGGAAGAGTAACTTTAAAGCAGAGCCAGCTAACCATAAACTCTTGCCAAATACAGATCCCACCCTTTTACAGCTTCCTTATACTGTGGCTTTGGGTAGTTAACAAAATAATGCATATAACTAGTTGATAAATAAGGGGTTTATAAAAACCTAAATGCTAAACAACAGATAAGATCATCTTTGGTGACCAACATGGCAGACCCTTAGCTGAAAAACTCAATTTACTGATGTAAGGATCATAATCAGTTAATGATGTGTATTGTTATTTCAGTCTTTATCCAAAAGATGACCCTGTCAAGTACTATATTTCTATAGTGATGCTTCTGAAGAACATTTAATTGCTGGATGGTGTACAGGGATGTCTGGTAAACATACCTGCATGCACAGTTTATGTTATAGGCCTGTACTATTATAATTACAGTACTTTAACAGAATTGTTATCTAGTTGTTTTGCAAAACATAAAACATATTTACCCCTTACTGGTATCATCTGTTTTGACATATCACATAACACCTGCATTTTTTTTCAAACGAACATGCTTATGATTTGTCACACCTCAAAAGGTTTAGAGTAACATTTACTCACCAAATAGCTCCATTGTCATGAACCACCTCACCTGGTGGCACTGCGGTTCCCTTGTAGTAGCAGGAACAAGCTGATGGGAGGACACATCTACCACTGTCATCCAGGTAGGTTCCATTCTGGCAGATACAGCCATCAACAGGGACAAATAAGATGTCACAAGTAATGTCATGGCTGCTAAGGGAACGGCAGGTGGGTTGGCAGGTGCTGATTGAGTAACTGTAGGTCAGTGAAGCAGGACAGCTGGTTGTGTATGTGGCTAAGATTAAAAAAGGAGAGAACTAAGTTATGATAGTTAATGACACACATACTTATGTTTCAGGAGAATTTAATAACAAAAAGTAATTGAAGTAAAGTATTTAATACAGTGGAACTTCTTGTCAAGTCTTTCACTTAACTTGTGCTAGAGTGCCGGGATTATAGTACTTTCTGGGGTGTCTATGGGGTCTATTCACGAAGCTGCCGAAGGATCTGGCCGTAGCTAGCTTCGGCCCCAGGACCCCTTCGGTTCAGTAGAACCGAAGGGGTGCTGTACGGGCTATTCACAATAGCCCGTACAGCTCCCGATCATGGCCGAGCGGCTCAGCCGAGCCGAACTCATATGCATCGGCTCGGCTGAGCCATGCTGAAAGACGAACCTGGC